GCGGCGCAGGACGACTCCTTCCCCTTCGGCAACATGACCAAGCTGGAGATGGGACCCACCGCCATCGAGCACCGTCTGGCGCAACAGTCCGCGCACATGGAGGCCCTCGTCGAGGACGCCATGAAGGCCACCGCCGCCATGTTGCCCGACAGCTCCAAGCTGGACGAGCTCGTCAACTCCAGGGTGGACGACCACCTGCAGGCCGGGGCCGCGTCCCCCGCCAGCGCGGCGCCCGACCTGATGCCGCCCATGCCGGCGTCCGCCATCTCGCCCGACGTCATCCTCAACCCGCAAGTGTCGCCCAGCATGCTGTGTGACTCCGCGCAGCGCATCGTGATGCCGGCCGGGCCCTCGCAGGACGACCTCATGATGATACAGGACCAGGTGCAGCTCACCTCCGTCAAGACTCCGCCCGCCGCCGTCAAGTCCATGATCCTCAACGCGGCCGCCGAGATCCTCACCTCCGACACCACCATGAATGCGCTGGTGACGTCGGCCATCAACACGGCCAACATACTGACCACTGAGAGCGTGTCGGGCTCCGGCGGCATGCAGACCACGGACTCTGCCCAGCCCCCCGCGGAGCCGGCGGGAGAGACTCCGCTGGTGGCCATGTCGCAGGCAGTGTCGCAAGCAGTGACGCAGGCCGTGTCGCAGGCCGTGTCGCAGGCAGTGTCGCAGGCCGTGACGCAGGAGATGACGGCGCCGGTGCAGGGACTCACCGACATGAGCGACCAGGACCTCCTCTCTTACATAAACCCCAGCACGTTTGACCAAGGTGAGTACATGGACGTCTACTACAACTAGTCAGACAGTCGCGCAGATCCGACCCCCGTCCGCTACACGGCGTCACACGCTCAGTCACACGTAGCTCAACGTAGACGGACACTCCTCTGTAAATATATTGTAAATAGTTCATACGTATTACATACTAAGCGATACTACCCACAGTGCATTGCCCGTAACGTCGCGGGTTCGGATCCACGAGGCTTTCTTGTATTTTCATTTGTTAAACATTCTAATATTAACTGCAGTAGTTTAATCTAATTTACAATAATGCATCAATCTGAAACCGTACCTGGATACTGTTTTGATTGGTACATTATTAGTGGCAACTTTTTAATTTGAACGTAAACTTTTGTTTGGTATATTGGCTTTGAAAGTATTTGTTTGGTAATTGATTTCCTGTACAATACTACTTGCACCTGTGGCGCTCCAATAAATAAATGATCCCAGTTGTTGCTAACCAATGACAATGTTTATTTATTGCAGTGTAAGGCTCGCGCCGCCGATAGTTCCCGGATAGTGGCGGGACACTTTGCCTACTGAATGCATTTCTTGTGTCGAGGGCTCAAAAGCAGTTTTTATGTGAATTTTTAATGGATGTCTACGTAGAAGTAAAGTATTTAGAAAATAGAGAATATAATCTCCGGACGTGTGGATGTTGTGTCGCTATGATTCTCAAGTTGAGCTTGGTAACTAATAGTGTTTGGTCGTCAATTAATGCATCGTGTGAGTCAGTATTACAGGGCAAATCAATTGAACACGTCGCTAACGAATTATTGTGGATCGACCGATGTGTGTACTCGTATGTATTTATGTATGGGCATATACCAGACATTGTCACATTCATGTTATATCATAAGAATACATCTACACCGACTATTATATTGACAAATCCTATATTTATTATACACAGAGACTCTACATGTGTGAACCTAGATCTAATTCGGATGTATGTAAGCGCAATGATAGCTACAGCGGAATATATTGTGTCTATGTTAAGGAACTAATCATACGTTGTCTTGTACGTAGGATTTATACTATATGTATGCACGTATGTAGGACACAACTAGTGTACATAGCCATGGTTGAGTATATAGACGATCCTCCCTGACTTCTGTATCAGAAATGATAATTTACAATTTGTAATTTTGTCTCAGATTACGTGAATTTAGTGAAACTTCAGAATTGGACAACATTCTACAACAAGAACTGCGTCGGTTATACGTGTTGATGTACATGCCACCTTGTCGCAGCCACCACTTCACTCGCGATGTTACGCCATTCGTGGCTCCATGGCAGATACGACCAGTATTGTCCCTTCCGATCACTCAGTGATACGAAACACTGTTTCATACTAAGTCTAAGTGATTAGATTATCTGGACCTTAATTCTAAGTCCCTCCGCAGTTAGGCAGGATATATATTACGTACAAGTCATATTTATTGATATTAATACACGCTCATTAGCATCGAGCAAAACTATAAACAAACCAAAAAGTTTTGAAAATTTTTGACAACACATATAAAATAAAATTATCATTTCTTTTACGGGTTTTTCAAGATTACTGTACACAACACGACAGAAGATTGGACAATGTTACATAAATAAACTAACTATTTACTATTTTCATCCCTTCTTTCTTTTCTTCCTTCACAAAAGGGTAGACAGAGGTGCTGATTAATGTTATGACCTAATCAATTGTGGAAAGATTGCAAAGGCCATATATTAATTGTTATTTTTATATAGGTAACATTGTTTAATTCTTTGGTTTTGTTTACAAAATCACATTTGATTGTAAACTCTTATAATATGGATGATTTTGGTGGCGAATACTCGGTTGCTATTCAGACCATTGTAATGTTCAGTACAGGACATTGGCATTATTTATTTATATTTATCCAATTTTGACACGATTTTAGACCTAATTTAAAAACTCCCAAAATTGAAATTCTGATTGTTCGCCTACCAAAGCTACACAAGATTAGACCTTATATTATAATACATAAGCTTTAAACTATATATTCCCGAGCATACATCGAACCACTGAATTCACGCACTACATTACTAAATAGTATATTTTTATAATTATGTTGTATATGATTGTGATATGTAACTGAATATACATATTAATCAACGTAGTAGTTAATTTTTTTTATAAATGTAAGGAAATTGTACTGATGTGATGTTAGAGCAAAGAGTATATTAAAAAATTATGTTATGAACATTTATTATTAATTATAAAATGAGTTTTTTATAGAGTCGAATGCTACATATTTGTGCCATTTAAATAAATGTAAACGTAGATATATGTTAGTGTATGAAGCATATCGATAGAGTTGTACCTACTATTGGTTTGTGGCCGACATGAAGATGTAAGCGTGCTGTACGACACCCCACTACTCAGACACGAAGCGACGCGCGTTAACGTGCGATAGCGCGCTGGATGCAATGTTGCTTTATTTATGTAACGATCGCAAGCGCACGTTAACGCGCGGCCGCAAGCACGCCGAAGCGGCTTAAAAACGGATTTACCGACGCGCGCTTTTAAAGCACCCGTCTATTTTTCATATACGAGGACAAAATACGACATAATTATTGCCATTAAAATATAATCAAATCAAACATTTTATATACGACTATATTTTGACATACAACACTAGTAATGGCAGTGATTATGTCTAGTTTTATAGAAAAATATACATTATACAGTATTTCAATCGGGGACCATGCAAATATACACACATTATACAAGATAGACGTTATATATACAAGTCTACAACATTTTATACGGAGTATATTTGACGCACCAAATACAATGTCTATGAATTTATATGTGCTGTTATGAAATGAACGAAAATTTTACGTAAACGTATATTTATTACTGTTGAACGCGGTGCAAATTATAATATATTGTTGTGCTATGATATGACAATTTGATATGTGTCATTTTGCACAATGTTCATGAAGTTTCATGAAGTTATGTACCCGGGAATCTCCTGTCTTCCTCTCAAGTCTTTCTGAATGTGTTTAGCATCGTATATTTGTATCCAAGCGACATCACATTTCATTGTATTTTATACTTATTTGTTAGTCTTCCATTAACCTGTTTATGTAACCTGTGAATTTATTTATTTTAAAGGGAGAAGATAGTTTAGTGTTTGTGTTTAGTAGAAAGATATGTGTTTAGACATTATGTAAGTAATTATTAAATTAATTGGTACTTTTATCGTAGTGCTTAATGAAACATACGCCTATTATTTCTCAAAGGGGTGGACAGAAGATACATTACCGATTAGTTCGTAGGTAGTAATATAATTGGTTTACACCGAAAATGTTCTTGTAATAAGATTTTTCATACCATAATGTATATTTAGGAGTTTTAAACGAATGGTAAACTGTCTTCTTCGTTTGAAAGTTTCCGGTGTAACGTGTGTACCGTGCAATGCGTACAATGGACGTACAATGGACGTACAGTTAGATCTCTAGTCGGTCTAAATCGATGAGTGCTATTGCAGAGCGAGTTCGTCAACTATGTTATTTGTTTTGATGTAATTAATAAATGTTATGAAAAATGTATTACACTGTTTTTTTTTTATTTTTACCCTGGATTTATTTCAAAGCACTTCAGTCTCAAGGGAAATTCAAAAATCTTGAAAATACTGGGGGGATGGGAGTAACCTTGACCTGTGATGTGACGGGCCTATTTTTAGAATTTCAAACATGTTTTGATGAATACTAATCATTTTCGGTTTCTCTACTTTGCCCTAAACTACTCGAAAATCTTGCAATATTTCAAAATTGTAGTTGAATATCGGTACTTCGTTTAGTTACATATTTTATTATTTACTAAAAAACTAGAATGTGAAAAAGGATAAAAGTATCATTTAGTAAATGTAGAGGTAGAATATTTCTAGTTTAATTTTTGTTTTCGAAAATTATCTTCTATTTTATGAATATTTTAATTTAATTCGTAGTACGTTATCGTTCACATTTACATGGTGACTGAATGGGTCGTGACTTGTCCACAAGTAAAATGATACTAAATTCAAGTGACTGCACGGTTGGCACGGTGGCTGCTCAACTTCCTGCCGCGCAACGTGTTGAACTCTTTGTGTGATCCACAAATTGTTGTATCGGGTCTGGCTAAATGTGCACAAAAAATATGTATGTAAACGACACTATAACGTTAAAAAAAGTGAAATAAAACGCAATAATTATTGCAACATTGCACCTCATTTAATTCAATTGCATAATCCTATTTATACATACATCATATGTATATGAGCGTAATATTCATAATTGCCTATTACAATAAAATTATACTAACATAACCCCGAATTACTTATATAAGAAATAGTTTCATTTATTTTCAGTCCAGTCATTTTGTACGGGAAATGAAGCTTACCTGTAAAATTCTGGTAGGTTTAGAAATTAATTAGTTTATAGATTTTAATAGGCCGCCATATTAGAAAAATGGCGCGGAATTTCGGTTTTTACCATCTTTTCAATCATTTTACGATAAGGGAGGGGCAAAACAGTTTTTTTTTTAATTAGAATCGACAATGTCCGCCGTAAAACCCCTAACTTTTAGCGAAAACTCATTTCCACCTTAACTCGTCGAGTACCGTCATTATAGACACAATTAAAGAACAATAGGTTGCGGTCACCGGTGTCCTCGCGGTGTTTGACAGTTTAAATTGAGATCACCAGTGTTTATTATGGTTTTAGTTAATTTTAAATATTTTAGTGAATTAAAGTGACTTAATTTGTGAATTATAAGAAAGATAAGGAAAAAGGATAAGACATCTTTAGAAAATTATTATATTAGTCTGTCTCGAGCAGAATTCCAATGAGTGTTAATTTTCTTTGGTATAAAAATTGTAGATTATTGTGTTGTTATTCATTTTGTAGTTATGTAGCTTTATCGTAAAATATTATCATAAAACTGCTATTCAGCATGATTTTCCAATATGTTGACGAGAACAGGATGGTAAAGGGTAAAGTAAACATTCAGAAACAACATAAAAATCTATTGAACTACTAATTTCCACAACTCCGGGAATATTTCAGGTAAACATATCAAATGACTGGACAATTTAGTTTACAATAAATATTGATATAATATATAACGTTAAATGCCCATGTACGAACATAGCGTGAAGGTACAAAACAGTACGAATATTATTAATAGGATGGCAACCCAGGCAGGTACAGTACCTGTAAACAAAAACAAAGGTTAAATACATAAAGATAATAAATAAAATTGTAGAACAATATAAAATCATATATTACTAAACTGGCAAGATACCATTAGAAGAAAAAAAAAAAGACATTTGGGTAAAGATGAATTGTGTTTATGAAGTAAGTTAAATGAATAGAGACCATTAGGGGGCAGATAGGAAAGAGATGAAACTCGGGCATTATTTATTTTTACGATAAGTGCCATTTCTTATTATTGTTATTAAACTTCAATTTAAGAGCAGTCAAAATTTCTTAATGCAAAAACTGGTGTTAGTACTGGATATTGGAGCAATAAACATATTAAATAAAGCATTAAAGTATACTGACTTCGATGCGGTAGAGAGTGCACGCAGAGACAGTTGTCGACGGATATGGAGAGCAGGGCGGCCTCGGAGCGGCTCGTGATGGGCGGCCCGTAGCCCCGGACCGGCAGGAACTCCAGCCCCGTCACGAACATATTGTGCGCGTTCTTCACGTGGAGGACTCGCTGGAAATGTATTAAGTAAATATTATAGAACATTTTACAAATACTAAAATAATAATACTCCACGAAATACTGGGATGGTCAATTGTCCTGTCTTTGACAATTTGGTTTATCTCGTCGAGTACCGTCATTATAGACACAATTAAAGAACAATAGGTTGCGGTCACCGGTGTCCTCGCGGTGTTTGATATAAACTGTCAAACACCAAGTCTGACTGCACAGGAAATTTTGAAAGTGAAATTGTATGCCGTCAATGCATTGTTACAAGATTCTTCATTATTTCTGATGGTATAGTGTGCAAAAAAGTAAAAAAAGGCAAAACCATTTATTTGAATTAGACCAGAAAGGCACTTTATAACGTCAACAAAAAAAATTAAATTGAAGCTATTTGCTCATTGTTGTTTGGATTGTGCGAGAACAATGCAACACTAAAATACAGTCAAAGAGATCGAAAAAAAAAACTTAAAGGACAGTAAAACAAAAATACAGAATACTTAATACTCTTCCATGTAACAAGAAAATAATATCTTAATTACTGGTTTCGTAACTTTTAATTAGGCACTATTTAGAACCTACCTGTAAACTGAATGCAATATAAATGTCGACGGATCCACTGAACATAGTGCCGACGCCCACAAATCTGCCGTCGTCCCGCACTGCGAGGGCCGACAGTGACTCGTTAGCGAGAGCGGAGCTCCTCAGGGCTCCGGTCCGGGGCTCCCACGACTGTAAGAGCCCGCGTTGCCGCCCTGACCGTGTCAGCGGATTCGCTATTGTGAACATCCTGTATTCATTCTTCTTGTCTTCTATTAAACCGAACCTGTAACATTAAATCGGTAAATGAATTAAAAAGTTTCAATTTAAAAAAAAGAATAAAAAACTTATCTTATTAAGTAATTATATAACAAGTAATATAATTATGTACTTCCATTTATCTCTTTTGTATTTTTTTTTTATTTAGATTCTACCTCTAGTTAATAGTTACTACAGCACACTTTTCACCATCGGATCCCTAGTCTGCGACTGGGACGAAGAGGGAAAAGGATGGCGATGTCAAAACATCACGTTAATTTAGGTATAGCTTTAATATTAGCATACCTGCATCGTCTAAACAGGTACTTGTTCCCGTTGGGCGGCTGGCACGTGATCTGCAGCATGGGAGCTCGCTTGGCGTTGGTGGCCCACAGCAAGGCCAGCCCGTCCTTCGCGATACTCACCAGCGACGTGTCGCACGGACTGAAGTCTAGGTCGTCGATCTAGAATTAATAAATGATGAATTATTAATGAGTTTAGAATTTAAAATTATTGAAGAATTCGGATGACTGGCATAGAATGTTGTTAGCATTAAATCCTCCTTATGCAATTTTATAAGATTTCAATAAATAAATTATTTGTCATATTGTGGAGTACCTGCTACTAAGTTTTACTGACTGGTAATCAACAAAAACGTTGCCTTTAAGCACCCAAAGTGATGTAATTCCAGTAGTTCAGCTAATGAAGTGTGTAGTGAAGTATATTATTGAGGGCCTAGTCGAAACGATACGGTATCGAACCAACAATCCGATGGTTGGATGATGGTAGATGGTTAACCAACCATCGGATTTGTTGGTTCAATAGAGCCGGCCAGTCCGTGTACCAAACGCGTACCTACTCGTTTCGATTACTTTAAACCTAAATTAAACTCGTACTAACCCTCTAAATAAGGGTTACCCCAAAACAAATATGCCATCTCAGGTTCTCGTGACAGAGATCATTGCATCTTTTTGCTTAAAGCTTTGTCCACCTAATACATTTATACCGAACTACAGATAAAAGAACAGATGTAAACATTTGTAATCTTATCAATCAATGGTTTTCTAGTAGATATTATCGTTATCAGAGATAACTCACTACTGTAGAGTATTTGTTTTAGTTTAAACTTCTTTGGGGTGAATGACCTAATTCTAAATCCCAGGTATTCGATTCCTGAATATCACAAATTGATATTCTAAATTAACTAAAAATCGCGGGTTACTCACGTGAATATACTGAGAAAATCTCTACTAGTTTCGAACTACAAAGGGTGAGTGACCCGCGATTTTTATTTAATTTAGTATGTCTCACAATAGTTATTATTTATAAAAACAATTGATATTCTGTTTCGGTTTCCTAATGTAATACTTTAAAATAGTTAAATACTTTAAAATAGTTTAAAGTATGAAATGATGTCTGGCCTGGAGTATTGGTATAGATATAAAGTATTTTTTTAAACGTTGCCCTACACTCTGTTTTCTCCTATGTCATGGGTGCATTTACAAACATACTAGTTCACATAACCATGACACCCAGACCCGGTACAACAATCTGTGGATCAGACAAAGAGTTGTTCCGTGCGGGATCGAACCCGCCACACGTTGCGCGGCAGCCAGTTGCCCAACCACCGCTGCAACCGTGCAGTCAGTGTGAAACGTAGGTACCTCTTTCGTGTGTCCTTCCAGCTCGTAGAGAAGCTCCATCTTGGGGAACCCCCAGACTCGCACCTTGCCATCGATTCCACCAGTGGCCATCAGCTTACTGTTGTGGCTGATCCGCACCACTCGCTGTAGCGGGTCGTTGCTGGAATATTTACAAAATACATTATTTATAGAGATCCATTATTTAGAAAATCCTAATCACATTAGCTATTGCAACTGTTGCTCTTGAGATCTCAAGTTTTGAAATCTGTATGAGATAAATAACTTATCATAGAGTTAAAAGCAAATGATTAAAGGGTAGTGTTACATTAAATTGAGCACAAGTATCCATCCCTGAATAATAGCGTAATATTCGTTCGTCTTAATAAAAATCTATTTAAAAAAAAAGAATTCCGTTCGTTAGTTTCGCTAAACATCGAGAACGGCTAAACCGATTTGGCTAATTTTGGTCTTGAGATGTTCGTGGAAGTCCAGGGAAGCATGAAAAGGTGAAAAAAATTAGGCGGTACGAATTTTGCCGAGTCAGCTAGTTATAAATGCACGGGCCTGATCTGAACCAGACCCGAGCGTACGGCGCGTCACGTTCCGCGCGGTTCCATCAGACCATCCCAGATGGGGCCCAATACGGCCAATGCCGATGCCGATACGGAGCCGCGGAAGACTTAACGGGTTGCCGGGGCTCCGGCTCAAAGTGCAGGAGTAAGAACGGGGTGGTTTTAGTTAGAGTGTGTGAGAGCAAGAGTGTGACACTCCCTTTCGCCTCACCCGAGCGGGAGAAGTCGTTGAGATGATTTCCCCCCCTCAAAACAAAAAAGATAGTTATAAATAAATAATTATGTTATTGGGCAAAAAGTGTGTGTACTAAAAGTCGTATAATGATGCTACATATATTATTATTATAACTTCCGTAATAGATAAATATCAATTATTATAATTTTGCATTTTGAACAGCTGTGTTCGCCGACGTTAGACAGTTATTCCGGTACAGACAGAACAAATATTGATGCAGTTGTTCATTGTGTAAAGTTAGTCTGAAGATTTTGTATTTACCTAACTAAAAGAATTATAATTTGCAAAACTAGTGAAATATAAACGGTATAAATAAATAAATGAATTCTAAAATACCTACTAAAATATTTACTATGTTTTTCGACTCACTCACGTAACTATTTTATTTGACGAGGAACTCGACTAGTTTCAAGCCATGCTAGAGGCTCATATTCAGTGCAGACAGCCGCCGCGTCGCGGGTCACGAAATGCTACTCATGAATATGAACCTCTAAAATGGCTTGTAACTAGTCTAGTTCCTCCCCAAAATAATTTCATTTTTATCCTGAAATAAGTAACCAAAATATATCTACTTCGGTGATCGTGTAGAATCGCGAACGCAACTGCTGAACTCAGAAAAAGGTAGACAGTTGACTCATTCAATATCTGCATACCTTTCTGGAGACTAAAAGTCGTGTCTTTTTGTGAAGTTTTGTTTTGTTCGTCATTCAAATATATGAATTTACATTACGCGAAGAGTGCACTAACATCTAGATAAATTCATGAGATATCCAGACAAAAGAAATACCTAACCATTAGCGATCTTCATTAGAAATACCTAACGATTAGAGTCTTCTATTTATTTTGGTCATAATAATGTTTTTAAATAGAACAATAGCTTTGTTTAGTCTTTAATTAGTGACGTACTGAGAATTGATATTGTTAATATGTTTGCATCAGTGTGACAATATGTATGTTTTAGTATAAACATTTTATTGTTGTTATCATATCATAACATCACCTGTGAAATGAAGCCAGAGGTATGCCAGAATCATGTCAATTGAAATGCATGTTATAATGTAAAAAAGCACTTTTTTATAGTGTAAGCTGGTAAACGAGCAGACGGATCACCTGATGGTAAGCAATCGGCGCCGCCCATGGACGCTCGAAACACCAAAGCGTTACAAGTGCGTTACCGGCCTTTTGGGAATTGGGAATTTGAGGATTGTGGAGAATTCGGGGATTCGGGAGACGGGGACTAGGGCCGGTATGGACGGTAACCTCACTCACACGACGAAACACAACGAAAGCGTTGTTTCACGTTGGTTTTCTGTGAGGCCGTGGTATCACTCCGGTCGAGCCGGCCCATTCGTGCCGAAGCATGGCTCTCCCACACTTCAATAACTTCTAAAATAATGCACTCGATAACTGTCTCATTGGTAAATTGTTAACGAGCGCGTCTGACGAACACGATGTTCAACGAAGCATCTCAAAAATTATTAATGTTTCAGAGAGTTATATTATATAAAAAAATATTGCCTGATATTCTATCATATACATTACTTAACAACAGTGAAATCGCGGGAAAACTCGTTTTTCTTCTACCACTTTCCATAGATAACTAATTAAAAAAAAAACATTCTTTAATTTATGAATAAATGCTATCTATGCATAGCATACTAACATTATAGGTAGGCTGATGAATGACTGAATGACAAGCCTTTTTTATCTTTTACTGATAAGACAATCTGTAATCTCTGTAGGTTGCACGCAGACATTAACTATTATAATATTAAATAACTAATAAAATAATGCACTGAGGAATTTCGTAATCTGATAATGACCACATTAGTAATGTTTCCTTGAAAGGTAGTTCACTGACAGGACCTTCTATTTCTGCTAATTACTTCCTGAAGGAGTAGATAAAGATTTACATAATCTACATTAAATACTTATAATAAAATCGTAGAAAAATCAAAACTGTACATTTAAAAATTTTTTAAAAGAATATGTGGTGCGTGATTTACTATCGATACCGAAGCCAAATATATAGTTTTTGGAAATTTTGTCTGTATGTCTGTATGTATGTCCGGGATGATCTCAAAAAGTACTGCAAGGGTTTACTTCAAGTTTTGCATGAATATTTCTAACAAGTCGGGTCAACATATAGGCATACATATTATCACGCTATCATCGAGGGAGGACCCTATACTAGGTACTTAATCAATTCTGACGACATTCGTTTCCGTAGAATATCCCTTGATAAAGACTAATTCAAAAGTATAAATTCTGCCAGAAGTCATTATTGTACGCGGACGAAGTTGCGGTCAATAGCTAGTTACATAATATACCTACCTAAAACTTTTAAGTTATGTCGTAAATCAGTAACAGGAGGAGACCTTATTGATGTCAATAGATGTCAATAGGCTCTGTAAGTAAACTGGAGGTGAATCAACTAAGCTCTATCAGTAAGGGTTTTTGGAAAACCATATAATACGCAATAACATTTAGACTCCTCATAAATTATTAAAGAGGATTCGAAAACTGAAATCCATATACTTTTTTGAATAGCTCAGTATCTTGTTATTTCAAATTCAACTACTACAAATTATCTCTGAAATGAATTAAGAACTACTGTACAAATGATGCAGTCTTTAGATTAGTAATAGATTTATACACATTTATATGGTAATGAAACATTTGTTAATTGTTTGCTGTGTATACTACTTAAGGAGTAGGTTGTTGAAGAATATCTACTGATTGCAACTTAATGATACAAACACATACATTTCCTATTAATCTCATTAAGGTTTTTCAAGGGAAACAAGATCTTGATTTATTACAATATTTGCAAAATGAACAAAGAAAATGTTTACCTTACTATAGTTACTGTTTTAAAAATTTATTGTCAGATTAAATTTCTGTTGTTTTAAATGTGTATTAACTCGATGAGTACTGTCATTATTAGACACAATTAAAGAACAATAGGTTGCGGGCACCGGTGAGCGTGTGGTGTTTGACAGTTTAAGCTCAGAGCAACATGGTCAGACATCAGGAAACAAAACCCAAATAAAAAGCATATGAATATGTTATTAGGGAATTTCTTATTTCCCAAAAGCAGGGATTTTCCTTAAAGTAATTTGCTGAGGGTTTTTCATTCCATTCGTAATAAAATTAGTGGTAATCCTATTATTTCATAACACTTCAAAGAACTAATTAATATTGACCTTCTTGTAGTTTTACCTGAAATCTGTCTGCACACTGTCGCTAGGCCTTATTTCAAATGATATTCGTTTCTCCGTAGTGTTACTGTTGCTGTCCTTCTTAGATATATTGTCATTCTCGGACACAGTACGCCTTCTTCTCCTCACTAGGCCGTTCTCTGCTCTGAAGCTGCCTCTGCGCATCTCTGCCGCATCCACCATTCGAATGTTCACTTTATAGAGCTGACAGTGACTCTCCTGGCCCGCTGTTAGATATGTCTTGTTCTGGTTACTCCGCACAGAACAGTTCATCACAACATTCGGTCCAGTCTCGTGGCGCATCACCTCTTCGGCAACAAATCTATTTCCATTGTGTGAGAGCTCAAATATTTCCTAAAAACAAATGTTTGTTTCCTTTCAGACTATGCTCAATTATATTTATGAATAAAGTAACTAACTAGCTACATGTCCATTCAATGAACATCATATTTCTTGTCTACATTTTTTTAGAACATGCGATAAAAACCAAATTATTAATAGCTACAAGTTTGTGATCATTGGACCATCACTAGAACATTTTGTTCATGACACTAAATTCGCGTGTTACTTTCTGTATGCTAATGTAGTTTAGGAATGTGAGAGCTAGGGTATTTGTTTATCTAAATCTAGTGAAACTGCATTGATTACCCGTGTGAGTAAGCAGCTGACACGTATACCCATAAAATTAATAGGCATGGCATAAACACGAGTTTGTACAATTTTATACTTACAAATCCATTAGCAACGCCTGTAGCTGCAGCTCCTCCACCACCCGCGACAATTACGTGTCGATTCGTAAGAGTTTGAAGCGTATACAGCGGGAAATCAACCCTTGCCAGTAAACCATCACATCTATTAGGAGACATGGTGGCTTTTTACATCAATTATACCGTTCCGATGAGCCTGTATCCAATAAATAACACTATCCTAATGTTAAAGCAAGCCACTTAAGAACATTTTAATTAACTAAACATCGTATAATTGCCGTAATATGGACAAAACTATACGAATCATGAACCAAACTTTAGAAAGAATTCGCCACTTCCAACATGACAAAAGTCAAATGTGACAGCTGCTTGTTTACGAATAGAGCTAACCAACTTCAGTATAGACAATAATACATTGCCAATGCTATTTAATATACTCGAAATGGAAATCACTCTTTATAAAATGTTTTTCGAGCACACAAAACAACTTATTATAATCAATTATTACTTTTCTGCGTTTTAGTTAAATTATTGTTTAGCTTTTCGTAACAATCTTCGTAAAATCTAAAAGTTACCTGTTCACAGCTTGTCAAACTTGAAACCATCATCGTTTGATACATTCACGGGGTTTGCGTTATGTACAAAGAGCTCGTGACTATAATGTAATTAAAACGGTTTAGTAATACACCTTGAGAATATATACTAATCTACGAGTTCTAAATACATAACATTAAATTGAAATACCTCGTTGATTATAAAATAGACTTGGCTAACTAGGGCTATTAGATATTATTTAGAGGTCACAAAAACAAAAATGTTAAGGTTAAATTAAAAACTAGACAAAGTAAAAAAAATAAAACAAAACATTATCAAAAATATTTTTAATAAATAATTTGAACAAGAATTACAAGCTAAGTACAATGATTATCCATAAACAGTTCTACTGATTACATCATAAAAACAAATCTAAAAAAAGTAAAAATAATCCACTATATGAATGACGTAGGTAAACAAATGCGTACAAAAACAGAATATACTATGTATTTTTACTTAACATAGTAAAATGATTACATTTCACACTTTGTGTGTTTTTTTACATATTTATTCATACAAATCAATCAATATCTAATCAAATGATCTTCAAGTCTGTTTAAGAAAAAGGAAGCATTACTTTTTTAATGGTACAAACAGTTCTACCATTAAAAGACTATTTGCAGAAATAAATTTAATTTCAACAATCAAATTACTTTTAACTTGATTGGCATCAATTGGGTATGAATATAATATTGTGCTATTTATTTACAAATCTGTTTATTGATTATCTACCATATGAAAATTCGAATGAATATATTGAAACTTACGTGAGACATACTAAATTAATTATTATATATTCGGCTTACTCACGTAACTGTTTGACGATGAACTCGACTAGAGCACGACAGTCGCGGAATGCTCCTCATGAATATGAGCCTCTAGCATGGCTTGAAACTAGTCGAGTTCCTCATCAAACAATTGGGTACTTGCCTTAATCAAAAATAAATTATTTTGAGAGTTCAATGCAATAAAATATATAAAAATAATCACTCTTTCATTAATTGATTTTATAACATAACATCACGCCTTTTATCCCCGAAGGGGTAGGCAGAGTTGTACATACATAATTGATTTTATGACCAACTTAATTTTAGTATCTTTCCAGCAGCCTATTTATTTATTAAAAAATTTAAGAAATAAATAGGCTATTCGAAACGAGACGTCACAATACACAATCTCGTACGAAATTTACAGAAAACTGTCGTTTTTGACAGTTCGAATTAAGTATTGAATTTGACTGGATGGCAAGTACCCAATTACGTGATTAAGCCGAAAATATAATAAATAATTCGAATGAATACTTGACAATATCATGGAAAACTTCAACTGTTGACTATAAAATTGACTATCCTATGTATTTGAAAATTGGTTACAATAAAAAATATACAATATACAGTACACACACACTGACGCTTATAACAATTAACAAAACTTTGGCATACACCTTAAGCTTATATTTGAAAAACACTATATATTCACTTAATTTCGCGATTATAAAAGTCAGAGTTTATGAACAGATACCAATTCTATATAAATATTGCGTTATTCTGTTCTTGTCACATAAAATTGTATTTTATTCTCACACACATAAGAAACAAAATTGATGGAAGCTTTGGTCAAGAGACCACCAGTCCTGTAATACTTTAGGAGTACTTATATTTATATCACCAGCAACCTTTTGTCCGTCATTAGACAACGAAGCAAAGATCGGGTGGTAGTCTATGCTAGTATGTGAAAATAATGGACCTTATGAGTCCATCTCGGACTGAGTCGGAGCTCTGTCCGATGCCAAAGTTGAAGAAGACGGACTCAGCTGCTACTTGCTGGGCACAGGTGCCCATGGGATACCAACCCACCTTGTTGAATACTATGCCCACTTTGTACACCTGCAAAGTGAAATAAAAAGGTTTAATTTAAAAGGAAGTTAGAATTCACGGTTTTTTTTTCTTTAAATCTATTATGCAGTACATATTTTTTTTTAAACATTGTCCCACCCTAGGATTCTCTCCTGAGTGCGTTTACAAACACAATTTCACGAGCACATGACACTCAGACCCGAAACAACAATTTCTGGATCACACAAAGAGTTGCTCCGTGGCAGCCAGTTGGCCAGCCACCGCGCGAACCCTGCAGTCTACTTCAAGCAGTTTATGACAACAAAAAGAAGAAGCAGTATTTAATGAATTATATACCTTGTTTCTCTGTATGTAGACAGGTCGGTTGAACATGATATCGAGCAGATGTCGGTAAGGCACGCGGCTCGTGTAGTGGGTGTAGGTGAGCCTGGCCCCGTCCGCGTCGAGTAGGTGCGCGTATAGTAGCTCGCAGTACGAGCCGCCGCCGCCGCCCGCCATTGACACTCCGCTCTCCTCGCTTGGGGCTTGAGTTGGCACCTGTAATTAGTGTAATAGTAATTTAAGTAATGTTAAATCTGTGTAAACCACTTCAAGAAAGGAAACTTGAAGATTTATACACTTAGTGATTTGATTAATCTAAATAAAGAAATAGGAAACAATTACAACTGTAACGCAAGTGAAACCGCTGAGAAAAGAGACCAGAGACAATTCTCTAGTCTACAGATGAGTAAAATTGGTGTGTTTGTTTGTAATATTAAAATAACCGGTTTTTACTACATACATATAAATATACATACGTATGTCGGTCTGTTTATACTGGCTAATCTCTGGAATTGCTGGACCGATTTTGCAAGACTTTTATTGGCAGGTAACTGATGTACTATCAAATAAAAATTGAAAGAAATAATAGAAAAATTGAAATAAAAAATGTTATGTTCTAAAATTAGCAAATAATATAATAATAAATCTTGTCATTCGACATCCATCTCAGGAGGCTGGCGTTAGGTGGATGGATCAAGGGCCTAATACAGAAGGCAGTTCTCCTAGAAACGGCACGTATAGTGAGGAGGATTCTGTCTCTGAAGCCCTAACCACCGGTAGCTTGCACCATGCTCTCGCTACTGGTTGGCTCCAATTTTTTATAAGATAAGATAAGATTTATTTTGTGAGTAGTATTTAAACTGTCAAATACCAAGCGGTCACCGGTGACCGCAACCTATTGTTCTATAATTGTGTCTACAAAACCGGTACTCGACGAGTTAAAAATGTAAATTGTAGAGAATTTAAAATAAATATATGTGAATAGTATTGGCATAATTCTGACCTGCACACCAAGAAGACAGATGTTCTTATCCACCATAAAAGTGACGGAGCAGTCGAGTACAGAAGTGTTGAGACAGTCCGTGTGCTGGATGATAGGTCGCTGGCAGTAGATCTTGTTGTAGTCGGCGCCGTGCCGGTCCAGGTGGGGCAGCTCGGCCACGGGCAGGCCCACGCCCACTCCCACGCCCACGCCTGCTCCTATCCCAACTCCCATTCCAGCCGCTAGATTCATGTTCTGGACTATTGCTGAATGCCTCGTACCTACTGCGGAGTAGAGAAACATAACATCACGCCTTTTTATCCCCGAAGAGGTAGGCAGAGGTGTACATTACGGCACTTAATGCCACTGTACAATGTAATACCCGCTTTTTACTATTTATGTTATGAGTCCCATGTAATAGGGGGTGAGCCTATTGCCATATACCGGGCACAATTACAGACTCCGTGATATTAATGAGTTTTCTTCTAAAAACCCAGTTCGCCCGACCCGGAAATCAAACCCAAGACCCCTTGCCCAGCAATCGCACTTACGACCGCTCGACCAACGAGACAGGCAGCAGAGTAGAGAAATTTTTATCTTTAAAGAAACTTATATCCAAGTAAGAACGAAATAACGATATAATTCATAGTGTTTATTTCGATTGGTTCCTGGATGGTTTAAAAGGACTGGAATTGGGCAGATCTAGTCGCTACTCAAATACAAAAGGTTATTTAGCGGAAAAAATGGCTGTAAAATGTAATCGGATAAATATTACACTGCATTGACATTAAATACTGTAATGTTATTTACTATAAAATTGATTTTTCATTGATTTTCAGGACTTGTACTATTTATACTGTGGTGTTATTAGAATATTTGAGTTAGTGAATGTTACCATCGTGTCGCGTAGGCCTGGGGTAGGGAGGTAGGCAGGCGAGATGTGACGGCGCTCCGAACACTTGGTCCATCATCACTGGACTTGGAGTGTCCACCGTTAATGTTGCCATCTGAAATACGAGCGCAAATCAGTTAGACAGAAAGAAGAAGAAAGTTATTTTTGAAAGTAGAAAGTAAAATTGTTGTTTTTTATTACTGTTGGCCCAAAAATAGGGGGAAGTTCATACAATGGCTTCTCTCGCCCGGGTGAGACGAGAGGGAGTGTCAGACTCTTTCTGATTAAAAACCACCCCATTCCTATACCTGCAATTGGAGCCCGTTAAGTTCTCCGCAGCTCCGTATCGGCTTCAGCCCTATTAGGCCCTATCTGTAGTGGTCTGATGACTCTTTGAGAAAAGAGGGAGAGGCTTAAGTTCAGGGTAATAATCTTTCGATTCTTTAATTATCAAGCAATGTGAACATATCACTTACATTAGAAGATGGTCCATCGCCAATAAGCTGCTTCCTGGGCACTCTGCAGGTAGAGAAGCCGCTTGGCATGGCCACATCTGAAGTGCTGGATAGAATATTCATGAGAACTGCAAACGCTTCCGATTCGGTGAGTAGTGAGGAACGAGCTGGTCCCTCCGCAAACTGCTGCGGCGTCAGGGTCAAGAAACGAATCTTCTCAATGGCTTTCCGAATCGTTGGTTTGTCAGTTTTAGGATCTGAGATACATACAAACATATTTATTATAAAAATATGAAACTTGGAAACTGAGAGGTCCACCCAACACCAAAACTGACAATAAATATTACTATTGTATGCTATAGCAATACCTTCAATTTTGGAATTTATGATTTCTGCATAGTTTATGGACTCTTCCCCACGTGACAGTAAATTTTCGATCTCCCCATACAATTCAAAGACCTGTATTGGTTCTTAAAAGAATAGAAATACTTTAATATCATATTTAGACCTTAAATTATGTGAAAATTAGGTGCAAGTTTGAATGAAAAGAGTATAAAGAGAGTTACATGACTTGTTTAGCTCACCGGGTCTGTTCTTCTTGCTCTCATCTGAAGGTCCGGGTAGAGGCTGGTCAGAGTTCTCGCTGGACTTTGCAGGCTCCATCACTGCTTCTGGACTGTTCTCAGCACTACTTTCAACATTCACCACCTGTGGCTATGGTAGCAATGAGGATTATTATCATGTATTTATTTCACAAAACATTATGATAACACAATAATACAATTATATATTGAAAGCCCTACAAAACCATTATAAGTTTTCATATTTCATCTCACTTGCTAGATGGAGCTAGTATGATTCTCTTGTTTTTCTTCCAGTAGGGAATTAGCTAATTTTACACTATTGGACTTTTAATATTTGACAGCTGCAATGATTGGACAAAATTACATCTTGCTACATTTACGCCATCTGGTGACTAAAAATACCGTAGCCCCCATTGCTTCAGTTCTACTTACTTTATCTTTAGAAGTAGAAGGTTCAGGGCTTTTAGGTCTCTTCTCGTTAGGAGGTCCAATATCTGAAGGTGGAGACATGCTCCTCTCCGAGTTCCTCTTGTCCTGAGCCTTGGCATACCTGACAGCAGCATTAAACAAGTCCAGTTCACTGTCCACATTCAAATGGTCTAAGGAAAACACTGTCATCACTGTGTTCAACTCCACATCTTCAAAACTGATGTCGTTTAAAACCTCCTTGGTGTTTGTACTGATGATCTATAAAAGAGGTTGTTATTATTAGAGAGTGGTTTGCAAATATTCTGTAAACCACTTACAATTATGTAAATATTGTCATCATTAATTCATGCACATGATTTGAGTTTAAAATAGAAATAGATTGACTTCTAACCAGTCACTAAACATACAATTATCATGATGTTGATATAGTGAGAGAATACAGACCTGTATGCATTTATCCATTAGTACATTTTCTTCAAAGAGCCTTGCAAACTCATAGGCACGACAGGCATTCCGTGGATACAGGTCTGACCACAGGTACCTAGTACATTCCTTCACCAGGTGCGGCAGCATGTACTTCTTAGCTCCATAGCACAACTCACAGGCCTTATCGAACGAGCTGATGTTGATATTATCTGTGTATATGTACCTGGAAAGTTATACATGCAAAAGGTAGGTTTTGAAGTGTCTTTCTTATTCATTCTTGTACATGGAATTGAAATCATAAATAGTAGAATATAATAAAGGTTAAATGGACACTTTTTACTTTACATACTCACTCTAACAGAGCTCTAAAAGCCTCAGGCTGCACATCTAGTATAGGTATGGGCTCATTCCTCTCTGCCATACCACCATAGAACATCGCCTCGAAAACTGGAGATGCCATCGCCAAAATCAGCTTATGGCCAGCAATAACCACTTGGTCGGGATCTGTTCCCACCAAGAATGTACAGTCTGACCACTGCCCAGACTTCAGGAGATATTCTCCCCTTTGCTTCACTTCGACGCATTCTAATTGCCAATCATTCGGCACACCAGACATATTTCTGTTTTGTTGTTGTCTTCTTGTTCACAAGATTATGTTATTTAACATTTATTCAGCTCAGATAATCACAATCATTCGTCAATTTATTTTACAAGTACCCAAATACACCAAAATAATCACTCAACTTGCTATTGCTAGAATATGCATTTCTGAGACTCGTTTAAATTACCTATGAACAACCAACTGATATAAATGAAATCTGCTTCTTTTAGGCAATTGATGTAAAGATGTAAAAAGGAGTTATTAGTATCGGTTATAAAATTATTCGTGATTTTTTACTATTCGATGTAACTATTTTGGTTAGAAATAGTTAGAAATATTTTTTTTCTAGAACAGTTTCTTAGCTTAACTTTCTTCGTAAACACAATATTAAATCACACGACATTCGCTGGAGCGTCCAGAAATATATTTGTTTTACTTTCCTTCATTAATGTCTTGTTTTGGTTTGTTTGTTTGGTTAAGAGACTGAACTGTATAATGCATGCTTAAAAATTACATTGGCTCATATTTTTTTATTTAGATATAAATAATAAAAATAAGCAATCAGTCGATCATGGTCGAGCGGATTGATAAGAGGTTGAAAGTTAAATAAACGTCAAAGTCATTATCATTACGCGATGTCAGTCAGCAAGCAAAATAATTTTGCAAACCTGTCAGTGTAATGTAATGAATTCGAACAATATTGATGTAGTGTGAAAAGTGGAACGAAACAAATCCATGAAACATCATGAATCACGACGAGATAAAATCTGTGGTACAGGAAAAGTTCTTATCCAGCGAACGGGTCACAGCTTTCCTGTGTGACGCCAAGGTATTACATCCCGAATGGGTGAAAAAGGATCGGCTTCTGGCCATCGTCGAGTTTGGAGATGAAAAGGCAGTGTTTTGCTTGTTTACGTCATGTTACCCACCAAAGTCCTTCACGGATTTATCCATAGAAATAGTACTGCCTATAGATAAGAGTTTTAAATGTGAAATAGACAACAAACCTTCCGACCCTGAGGCCATACTGTACCTGAATCTGCAATCTCGTAGTAATAAATATAAGTTTGAAATACAAATGACTCCCCGCGTCGACAACTTTGTTGATGACCTTTTTAGAGGCATAGAAGCTGTGAACAAAGTGCCAACTCAGCCAGATTTTGTATGGCTTAAGAAGTACACTGGTAAAATTGACAATGATATACTGACCCACACCATGGCGCTACCTGGCGGTGTCCCGCACACACAAAGCTCAGCTCCTGTTGCCATAAGAGAAAGCCTCATCAAACACAAAATGTCTGACAAGGAGTATGAATACACTTTTACTAAGAAATTCTCTATATTCTGTGGCACATGGAATGTCAATGACAAATCTCCTGTGATTCCTCTCAAGGACTGGCTGAGTGTTGACAGGGAGCCCCCTGATATCTATGCTGTAGGGTTCCAAGAATTAGATCTGTCCAAGGAAACATTTCTGTTTGACCAAACATTTAGAGAGGATGAGTGGTATTCTGCTGTTATTAAATATGTTGATAAAAGAGCAAAGTATGTCAAGGTGGAGAAAGTAAGACTTGTAGGCATGATGCTAATAGTTCTCATTAAAGAGAAACACTTGTCTCATGTGCGCAATGTAGTATGTGATACTGTGGGTACTGGGATCATGGGCAAGATGGGGAATAAAGGAGGAGTGTCCATAAGATTTGACCTCCACAGCACATCACTGTGTTTTGTAAACTCCCACTTGGCTGCACATGTAGAGGAGTTTGAGAGAAGAAACCAAGATTTCAGAGATATCTGCAACAGGACCAGATTTGTGCAACCCAACCAACTTCCTAAATCCATCAAGGATCATGATCAAGTGTACTGGTTAGGAGACCTGAACTACCGCATTACAGAACTAGATCCTACCACAGTCAAAAAGCTGTGTAATGAGAACAGTTTTGCACCAGTATTGGAGTGGGACCAGTTGAAGCAACAACATAAACTAAATAATGTATTCTCTGGATACACAGAAGGCGAAATAAACTTCAAACCTACATACAAGTATGACCCTGGAACAGATAACTGGGATTCCAGTGAGAAGAACAGAGCTCCTGCTTGGTGTGACAGAATATTCTGGAAAGGAGAAAATATTGTACAACTGGGTTACAGAAGTCATCCATCATTGAACATAAGTGATCACAAACCAGTATCAGCTATATTCAACTCCTCTATTAAAATAATAGATGAAGAGAAATATAGGAAAGTGTATGAAGAAGTTATTAAACAACTGGATAAAATGGAAAATGAGCTGATTCCCCAAGTGAAAGTTGACAGAACTGAAATTGATTTTGAAACTGTAAGGTACTTGGAACTGCAAGTTCGGACAATCACTATCAAAAATGTTGGTAAGCTTCCTGTAGAGTTCGAGTTCATCAAGAAACTGGATGAAACTAGCTTCTGCAAGGAATGGCTCATAGTTGAACCATACAAGAAATGTATTTGTGCTGAAGAAACATGTGAAATCCAACTTAAGGTCCTAATAAACAAAACATCTGCTTGCAAGATGAATGCAGGAACAGACAAACTGTATGATATTCTTGTACTGCATTTGTATGGAGGCAAAGATATTTTCATAACCATTAATGGCACATACCAAAGAAGTTGTTTTGGATGTTCTATAGAGGTTTTAGTGAACCTCAATATGCCGATAAAAGAGGTACCTGTAGGAAAATTAATTGAGCTTGAAAATAAAAGGGATTCATGTGTAGCCAACCAGTGCACATACTCTATCCCCAAAGAGATTTGGTTCCTGGTTGATCACATTTACCTACATGGTTTGAAAGAACCCAACTTGTTTGAGCAACCAGGATTTCATTCTGAAGTGTTACAGATTCGTGACTGGCTGGACAGTGGCTCCATAGACCCAATACCTGGGAGTATCCACTCAGTGGCTGAAGCATTATTGTTACTGCTCGAGAGTACTGCTGATCCAATCATTCCTTACAATCTTCAGTCAGTATGTTTGAGGGCATCCGCCAATTACTTGCAATGCAAACAAATTATAATGGAGCTTCCAGAATTTAGAAAGAATGTTTTCTTATATTTGTGTGAGTTCTTACAAGAAGCTTTGCAGCACAGTGCTGAAAATGGTCTTGACTCGAAAACTCTATCGACGTTATTTGGCGCCATTTTCCTCAGGGATAATCCGAACCAAACACAGGAACCACAGTCAAGGATAAATAGACAAGTGATAGATAAGAAAAAGGCACAGTTTGTATACCACTTTTTGGTTAATGACCATAGTGATTTAATATTTTCTAGATAAATAAATTAATTGTTGCATCATTGTAAAACTCTAGTGGGAAAATAGAACACTATTAATGCAGCAATAATTCCATCAATGCATTTTGCCCCATCAAATTGTTCTGTTTTTCCATTGCTGTTTAGTACGCGTGTCGTACGCATTATATTTATTAGTATAATACTCACATATTTCCATTAGTAACCCTAGGAAATAAATTAATAATAACATAATTATGAGACTGCTTTGTTGCAAACTCTTATTGGATTCTTTTTTATGTTATGGAATTGTAGCCTGAATGGAAATGGCTCACACTATGTAACGTGCAGTATGCCCATCACGTGTAACAATCACGATATTATAATTATATTATATCTACGTAAAAAGTCTCGAAGTTATACATTTTACGCTTATTCCTTATAGTTAATGTGAATCTTCGTTCGCATTTATCCATGTAATGTTTCGGCCCATTGTTTTCTGCTAATTCCATTTGTAATCGACGGTTCGTGCTAAATGACGTAGTCAGTTACGTTACATCATGTGACAAAATTAACTTTTGTGCATTTTCATACTTTGTATAATAATGTTGTTAATTGTTTCCAGATTTTATTTATAGTAAATTGGGGGATATGGTAGGTCCGAAATTGCACTTTATAATCTATCTATATGTCATTAATATTTTCTCATTATCTCGTTATAAACTTGGCGACAATAACACGCCAAATGCAGCAGAGGCGCCGTTGTGTCTGACTGCCATAGACTTTATCTAATTAACAATGATAAGTTGGGCAGAGTTGCGTGGGCGACATCCCCTGGTACTTAGTCGGTTTAAGCTCTCTCACAAGGCCATTCGTTACTGTATTTTCTTGGAGACTTGATTTAAGAATATTTCTGTATAATTTATGACCCCAATAAAATCAACGGTCACCAAAATCTTAATTACTTATTAATCGATGTAAACAGAGGAAAATATGCCAAAATATTCATTCGATAAGGTAAAAATAGGTACTATATTTTATTTTTAAAACTTTAAGTTTACCGTAAACGATGTATTATAATTATTATGTTTAATTATAATGGATTTAATTCGCATTAAAGTTCTACGAAAAATACGAAGGCTCTTAGACTACCGAGCCTTTAATAACGCTAATTGGCTAGTTTCCTAGATTTAAAATAAATTGTTTCAACTTTTGAATGCAATAAATAATTAAAAAATAATCATACTCTCATCCATTGATTTGACAATTTACCTACTTTTGGATTTTTTCTCGCTAATTTTAAGGAAATAAGTATATTATTCGACGCAGAAATATGATGACGTCATAAGTTGCGATCCAATACAAAATTCATAGAAAAGTATCGTTTTTGACATTTCAATAAAAGTATTGAATTTGACTACCTGTCAACTACCGTATTATAGTTTTTAAGGGCTATATCGTAATGATTTCACACATTGCCGATCCAGCATAATTATAATTAGTGCCGTATCGTATTTTTCCTGTAGAACATAAACAAACGGAAGTATTTTTAGTCGCTAGTTCAACGAATCAAAGTGGCCAAGTCCATTAGTTTTAGTTTATAATTAATATTTTCTCTACACTGTTATGACAAAAATATACCTAAATAGGTACTATGATACTTTTGTAATAACTATTGCGATTACGACGTTTTTAAACGCTATTTAGCATCACAGAATTTTGAAATTAATACATTTTTATAGAATTTACTATTCGAATATGTAGTTGGATGTATGTAGATAATTATACTACCTACAGTTATTGTAAAAAAATGTGTGTTTAAATTTTATTTTAATTGGTGCTCGTTAGTAAAAGCATTCAAGCCCTCCTTGCGTGCCACGTGCACATAAACAATTGCAATTAATTCTAATAAAATGTAATCATACCTTTTTTGTATGCGACAGCATATACAATATTGATATTGGTGTCCATGTATTGTAGAAAATATAATTATACCTATGTATTTTACAAGTTTATTATTATATTTAAACAAATATTTTATTATTGTATTTATTCGTTCATGTCATAGTGGATATAGTGAACTGTTAATTTATTAAATTATTAAGAATACTACTTTGATAATTTTTTTATTTTCGCTTACATTTAGACCTAGAAGTAAAAATCACCTAAAAGCCTTAGGCTACCTAGTCGGTTTCATTTTTACAAGTACGTTGACCTAGAATTTAGATCGCGATCAGGCTTGTTTTATTTTAGTCTTCACTTTATATCCCAGCCTGAAATTTATTTTTTTTAAACAACTTCCCAATAATGGTGTGTTTCCGTAATATAATTCAATAAGTCCGGTTAGTTTTTGTTATAGTAAAAACACAAAGAATAAGAAGGAACGAACGATACATGTTCAAGTGCGTAGGCACTAGGCAGAGTTGCACAAACAAAATAGTTCATATAACAAAGGTACCTATACATAATAACTTTTTAATTTTTTACTGCTAATATTAATGATTGTTTATTTTTTAATAAATAATAGTCAACTATATTTATTTATAAACCGACAACGTCAAACATTAAAAATCCAGGTAGGTACCCAACTCTTACTATAATGTACCTGTGAATAATGTTCTGAAGTGTGAGTAGATGGCGTGAGTGCGCGGATCTAAAAGTTTATCAAGAATTCACTAGGTGTCGTTAGACGCAGTTGTAAATAATTTTGTAAAAAGTGATTAAGGTGAGTAACAATATTATTTATTACATAATTACACGAGATTATTTTGTCAAATCTGATTTTAATTTATTACTATAGTTAATATTTGTTTTTAATACGGCTGAGGAAAATAATGATTTTTGGAACGCGACCTCCTAGATCACTGGTCGATGGATCGAACGCTAAGCCGCCAGATTTGATTTCAACCAATCAGAACAGTGCATCCATCGATTTGTCAAATAAATAAGAAAACTTCACATATGAAAGAAAACGTCTGCCATTAACTCATATCCTGTCTTTCTTTACTTCAAATTTAATTCAAAATAACTGTTTCAACGGCATAAGAAGTTATAAAGATTTTGTATCGAACGCATCCTGCTTTAAAACTTGTTAGTCCTTTGTGTGCAGCGGTTGTGTGAAATAAAGCATCCTTTGTTTTATCCTGAGCGAACTACCAGTTCAAACAAAGACAACTACAATGGAAGTTGAAGCAGCTAAATGTAAGTCAATTTAATTAATAAATTACAATAAAAATATATTTCTTTAGTATTCTAATATTATTTGGGTGTCAATGGCTGCATCCAATTAAATAAAAAATATTTATTTTTCATTTTATGTAACAGCTACATCTATTCCGATTTTTAACCGTCGGTAAATAATGAATTATGTTTTATATCTTGTGATTTACGTTTATTACAAATAGAATGTGCATAATTGCTACTACGTTATTAACAATTTATTTTTATTATTACTCTTATTAGAAAAATAAACTTATGTACCTATTTAAACCAATTGGAAGCACGGGAGCTGACCTACCGCACCTTTACATTGACGTGGTTTCTAATGTCTCCAATACCGGAGGTCAATCTTTTCGATAAAAGTGCCTAAAAAATAACATAATTAGGTATAGAAGTATTATTTTACATTAAGTAGGTACCAAGTAGGTTTTTTTACGAGCTAACAAACTCGTACATCTATGTAGGTACCTAGGTAGGGTTCAAAATTATGTACCTCCGTTTTTAAATCGGTTTAAAATATAGTTGTATGTTTTAACGTAAAAAATAACCCCTGCCCTGAACTGCAATAATTTAAATTATGTATCTTCAACTTCTGCAAGGAGTTTCTGTTTTTTTTATCTCGGTGAGATACAAGACTTCGTTGTTTGTTTATTACGACAAACAGGTTTTATCGAGATGTTTATTTTTTGTTTAAAATAGGTACCTACCTACCTATTTATAAAAAAACCATGATTCATTTAACGGTCGTGCTTTTAAAATATAGGTCTTCTTATTCATAAACTTCACGCCTTTGTCTCAGGGACATGGTAGACTCCAATTATTATTAATTTGTTTTAAATTTTTATATTCATCAGTGTATGAACTGACCATTATAGAAATGCTTATTACAAGTGCTCCTTGGAATACCTACAGCTATCAAATACTTTAATTCCCAATTAGGTACCTGAAAAATTAAGTTCCTGAAATAACGGAATATTAAGACTGCAGTTTATTGCAACTGCATTCGATTTACTTGCTTATAATTCCTAGGTACCTAAAAGAATAATCCTTGCATAAATCACGTTTATAAAACCAACATCGACTTCCTCTTTTTTCAATCGGTTAATATTACTTATACTAAAACCTTCTCTTATGTGTAACAAACATTTCTGAACCGCATCGAAATCGGTCCAGCCAATCGCGAGGTAATCGCGCACAAACATACATACAGGTCTAATTTAGAACCTCTTTTTTGTAGTTGGATAATAAGTCCCTATATTTTGTACTAAAAGTAGGTTCATGTTCATGCCGGCTCCAATAAACCAACCAATCAGAACGCCGAATACGCGTACTCGTTTCGATTGTTATAAATGTAAAACATACTCGTACTAAGGCCTCAGTATACTCCCAAGTTCTAGTATCAAAATTCGTTCATTCATCATAAACTGTTTCGAGAACGCTATAGTATGAAACATTTTTCTCTTCAGTAGGTAATTACATTTTTGTACTAATGTGTACTTAATAATTTGACTGTCTCATCGAATCATTCAATTGCATGCGCATAGCAATATAGCATGCGTTTTCGAAGTTGGGAAATTCAGTTAAAACCGGTTTCCTAAGACGAGTGCAGCTGTTCATTCGCCTCAAGTTAATCCCCTTAGATTTAGGGTCAGTAAGTAATCTCTTAATATTCCCGAGAGCACAGTGGGCTGACCTATTTTCATCTAAGAGAGCCATTGTTTTCCAGAGCACAAAATATTTTGCATAGAAATTGAGAAAATGTGGTATTCTTACTATTCTAACGTGATGAAGTATTTGTCTTCAAGTCAAGTAATCACACATAGTTATCGCACCCGTAATTACTTACAATATTGTTTGCTACTAAAACTTAGTTTGTTTGTCACTGGAAACAGGCAATAAATCACTATAATATAAAGTACGTAACTACGTATATATTTACAATGAAGAAGTTCAACGCTCTCCGTTAACTGGTTAATTGCAGGTTGGTTAATATTTTAATAATTTGCAGCAATTTGCGCCCGACAAAATTTGCCATTTGTCATCATTGCGACCGTTAAACAAGTTCCAATTTACCGGCTGCCGGCCGGCGACGCGCCACTGAGAAAGTTATTTTTTCGTGGGTGTGTCATCCTCTGTTCAAACGAACGGCGGTTGGCAAGGACACTGCAGCCGTTGCGATGACTCACGAGCATCTCTTGAACTCTTCCTACATAACGAGTTTATGCCATATTTTGAACTTTGAAATGCCAACCCTTTTAGGGAATACTAAAGACGGCTAGCTGCACGTAAACAACCGGCGTCGTATGTAAATCGTTTCGTTGTCGACATGTAAAGAAACTTGTTTTGAGTTCCGGTGTTTGTACGAAGGATACGTATTCCTTTATTTACCTAGCGAGGTTTTGTTTTATTTTACGTTTAATTGTCTCTAATGAAGCTAAAACAGCTAAAAAGGGAGTGTTTTACGACTTTTTAACCCTACTAAAAGCGGTATAGTGACCACACCGTTCTACAGTACCACAATCTCCATTGTTCCCATTTAATCGTCCATGAAAATGTAATAATTTCTTTCCTCTATTGTCCTGCCCGCATTAGACACGCCGAACGGCTGGTGTAAACAAACCAGAGCTTAATTAAACTTCCAAAAAATCCTGGCAACAATAAACTTTAATAAATTAGCTACCTTCGACGATACTATAAAAAGCTTTTGCCAAAATTACTGGTTTCTATGTTTAAATTTAACGCTCAATTTGAAATGTTATTAAATTGACACTAAGAGGTCCCAAATCTCGGAGGGTGGCGTTGATTAAAAGCGCAGGAAGCGGGTAGAGAAAAGCTATAGCCCCAGAGTGGCGGAGGTAAATTCCAATACAATACAACAGCGGTGTAATATCTCGAAGCAAGCCGCTTAATGGGCCGTTTTGGTGCGGAACTTTGTTCATTTGAAAAATAAGTGGTGCGGAATCAAAGCTACTCCCTATTTGGTTGATATCCGACACATTAACATGACAATAAAGGGA